GGGACCAAGGGTCCCAGCCCATACCAGGAGAAACACCCCCAAACCATAATTCCACCTCCGCCGAACTTGAGTGTTGGCACAATGCATTCTGGTAGGAGACGTTCTCCAGGTAGACGCCAGACCCAGACCCTGCCATCCGAACGGTAAAGGGTGAACCTGGATTCGTCACTCCAAAGAAACCGTTTCCACTGATCTACCGTCCAATTTCGATGTGCTTTGCGCCACATTAACCGAGCAGCGCGGTTAGACCTTTGTGATCAAAGGCTTATGGGCAGCAGCACGACCATGAAAACCAAGCAGATGTGCTTCCTTACGGATGGTATTCATAGAAACAATACTCCCGGATGCCTGTTAAAACTCCTCGCGGATGCGGGCCATCGGTTGTGTGCGGTTCTTCCAAATTTCTCTGGACAGCACTCGTTGGTCTCTATCTCCCAGTTTCGTTGTTCTGCCGACTCGGGGCACATTCCGACAATCACCGCTCACCTTCCACTTCTTCTGCTATCTTCTGCTATCTAAACATCTTCTGCTATCTAAGAAGATGTTTCTAACACCTTAATCACATTGGCCACTGTCGATTTTGGGTACTTCAGCTCGCTAGATATGTCCCTTAAGGATCGGCCACATTTCTGATACCCGATAATTATACCTTTCTCGAAATCAGAGAGCTCCGAACTGCGAGGCATCTTGCATGCGACTAAAAAAAGCCTGTTTTCCTACACGATATATACCGGCGGAGTCCGTGACATACCTTAGGACCGCAGATATCGTCATTTGCATAGGTGTCCAAATACTTATTGGTAGTCAGTGTATATATATATATATATCTATATATATATATATATATATCAGTTTTGAATAGTAAAATTGATAGATTAATGACATACACAAAACTGATACATAATCAACGTATCAAATATCGGATTTTTAGCTCACCTTAAATAAGTTTCTTGTCTAGATAAATATTAACAAATCTTCTTAGATAGCAGAATGGTTTTAACTTTCAAAATTTACCATTTTAGGTAAACAGTTCTAATTTAATATAACAATTATCTTATTAAATCTAAAAATTGGACTTCTTAAGTCGTTCTAAATTCACACTTATATTATTGCAATATATTCCCGTATTAAGCTTTCCATGTTTAGACATTGAAGTTATTTTGAAGACATTTAGCTTTCTTACAAATTCCATATTCTAATATTATAAACTTTAAATATTTATTCTGTTTTCCACTTGATGTACTTTTGGCATGCATTTAACTTCTAATACACATTTAATTAATAAATTAATAATTATGAGCGTCAGTAGAATTTTCACAATTAACAACAACAACAACAAAAAAAATTCCTTATATTTATATCCTGGGATTTTCAGTTCCTTTTTAATCCATTCCTTCTATCACATATTGTTGCACACTGTACTCAAGTTTTCATGTATGTAGAATTTATATATTTTGTATTGTGTTTAGGCAAATTTATATTTAAATGATAATTTTTACGAAATTATTGCATCATAACTCTAGTTAAGAAAATATATTTCTAACACCTTGGTAAAGCTTAATCTTCAGCATGTAGCTTATTTTCCAACCTAGTTTCAGGCTGAATGATTTGTAAAATTAATTACTTGAAATTATTTGTTAACAAAGATGGTCGCTAAATCACGCTAATAATATTTCTAACTGTTGTATTTATAATGCAACGAGTTCATGTGATTTATTATAATATAATTCATTTATAATTTTTTCAGCAGTATTGAAATTAATAGCAGATACTGATAATGATATACATATAGATTACAATGATTTAGATTGCCATTGCCTTCTCACTCATGCTTTTATGCTACATTCCTAATATTTCATAATGGCATACAGGTAGTTTAACTCATTCACCAAACATGTCAATCTCAATTCAGCCCACTTTGTTCTTACGTGTGCTGTATCTTTCTATTTGCTTTAATATATTGTTCAGCCTAATTTCAAAAGGTCTTCAAGCAAAAAAGTCACTGAACATTGGTAGTTTCGACCAGAGTTTCTAGTCCCAGTGATACACCCAGCTCTTTCTCTTTTTGTACTTATTTACTGTGTACGAATGTAGCATAAAAATTTCAGTTCATGAAGTAAAAATACTTTTCTAAATTGATTCTTTAAAAATATTTAAAAAATTTTCACCTTTACCTTAGCATACCTTTTTACAAATCCCTCTAATGAGAAAAATAAGGAAAGGAATTAACTCAGTTTCGTCGGTGATTGATACCTCGGTGCAAATTATATGTAACATTTTTCCAAAAGCATAGAGTTTATTGATATCAATAAATTAAGGATTATTTCTCCATCTAATTTCTTAACGTGTTTATTCCAGAATTTTCTTTTCACACTGTAGCGCTTAATTTTATGAGTTTTCTATAGTCATTCAATTTCTCTACCCATGGCAACTTTGCACACCTTCTGACAAGTAGTTATATTTTTAACCACTGTATTTTAATTCCTGTTGACTATCAGTACATTATTCACTTGTTTCACAAGTGCAACTTTTATTTTATACGCAAATCTACGTAAAATAGCATTAAAACTTCAGTTATGCGGAGCTCCTGATCGATTGCTTGTTTTAGATTGAATGAAATTAAGCTTAATCTTACTGTTAATTAGCTTGTTATTAATTTAATTGTGTTTCTAACTAATTATATGTTCAGATATTTCCAAGTATATTACACAAACTTTTGCATCCTAATTTTTAGTTTTTGATTAAAAAATAAGCTTTTATTTATTGTGTGTATTTATTTAATTATGGCAAAGCACACGAAGGCTAATTGCCTAAGGGGAGGGATGCCTTCGTGGATGACTTTCTAAGGGAAACTGGCTCGTATACACGTTACACATGGGGAAAACCACGAAAACGCCCATGCTTTTATTTATTTATTGAGAGGCCTGACTGATTATATTAAGTTGCAGTACTGTTTATCTAATTCTTTTCTTCTAGATAAATTTTAGAAAAACTTCTTAGCATAATAATTTAAATTTATTTACAATTTATACGTCAGTGATCCAAACGCATAGTAATGTTGTTTATATAGATTTCATGCTAAGCTTTCTTTTTAATTTAACTATTAATTTCTGCAAACATTTACATGATTACTTTAATTAACAAAAAATATTTCTAGCACACTTTGATATGGAATAATTTTTTGCACTCTATTAAATTTTCCAGTCTAGTTCAGACATCTTGACTATTATTGATGTAATTTATTAAAAATATAATTTGTATGCTTTATAATTATTTAATTTATGATATTATTATCATAAATGAAAGATGTTTCTAATGCTAATATGTATGTTTACCAATACCTTTTATTTTCTTTGTTAGCTCTTGCATTTATTACTGTTATTCAAGTTAATTAGCCTGCTTGTTAGATATTTTTTACTTGTTCTTGTGATATGTAATTCTATTTATTTATTTTTATTTTCCTCTTGGCTACAATTGGCTTCGAAAAGTTAAATTGTAAGCCTGTAGGCAGCAGGGGGAAGAAATTTTGATTGGCGCAGTTGGACTCCAGCTCGACCCGGGGGGGGGGATTTTCATTAGCGCAGTTGGAGTGCACCCGTCACAATGCTCTAGAGGCTCTGTGGTTGCGCCTTGAAACCACTGCTCTTCACAATGGCGTTTGCTTGCTTCTCAAATAGAAATGTTTATTTTTACCCGGATATAGATAAGGGGTTTTGAAATCACAGAGTTATTTTATTACTAAACAATACATGCAACTGCCCAGTAAAAAGGTCTTTCTTTTCCAAATACCTTTCTCTGACATCAACACACTTGCTCCCCAAGCTAGTACTGTGATTTTATAAATTATTTCGTGTGCTTTAAATTTAACGTAAATATACTTTGCTATAATTAAAAATAGAAATTGCTTAAAAGTTTTATTTAAATTAAAAATATTTTCTGAATATTTTAGGACGAAATACGAATAAAATAAGTATGAGTGGGAAACGAACGATCCGTACAAAGCCAAAAAGACCAAGCCCTCCCCCCATTAACATAAAAAACCACAAATTTCATGTGCCAGATGAAAAGAAACTAAATAACTCTGGACATATACCAGTGAAATTTAAATCCAAGCAGTGTACATTTTGTAGCACAAGGAAGAAACCTCATAGAACAAGATGTATGTGCGAAACGTGCAGTGGGGGTCTATGCATGTGCCAAAAAGACAAAACATGCTTTGAACAGCGTCACAAAAAAAAATTTGTTCTTTGAAATTTAAAAAAAAAACACTGAGATCTTTTTTATTCTTATTTTATTCAGTTTTTTAATCCATTTATCCAAATGTCGTTATTACGTAGGTACTTATATTTTCACTGCTATAGAAAAATTACATAAATGTTTATTTTTTAATTTTTTCTGACGATTTACTTTCTAAAATAATGTAAAAATTTATATACTATAATGCAATTCTTACATACATTTTTTTTTTTTTTTTAAATAGGTAAATTTCGTCATTTATTGGAAACGCGCGCGGAAAATGGTAAGTTTTTTTTTTTTTCCCTACTACATCAGTAAGTTTCAAAGTCCTAGACGCGCGGTGGTTTCACAGTGCGACCACCACTCACAGAACAATGGGCAAGAGTAGATTTTTTTAATTCATATATTTGTCTCTAGGATCATAATATTCAATTTCTAGAGTTTTTAGTTAAAAAAATTATAAAAATAATATCGCGCGCGTCAAAGGGTTAAATGAATCAGCGAAATTAATCACGCCACTGTGTTGTAATTATAACACTTCATCCTATCCAAAATAAAGAAACCTTCACTTCCAAAAGCTATCACTTTCATTTTACAAATGCTAAATGAAACTTCCCTTACACATTTACTAACATTTCAATAAACGCCAATCAACCTTTTCTAAACTGAAAGCGAACGCATCATTTTTTTTACTTCGGATGTGATGAAGCGTCATAATCATAACGTAGTTGCATGGGGAATTTTGCTGATGATATTTATGATAAGAATTTTGTGAAGTTCTAAAACGTCAACAGCTTGGATCATAATCGGAAGGATCTTCTTAAATATAACTCCATCGGTCGTTGAAAAGATATTTATATACCTATTTTGCTGAGTAAATATCAAGTTGTTTCAGAAAGATCACCTGCAGTACATCTCATCGACATTCTTGATCACAGTAAGTTAATAAAATTATTTCTTAAACATGCATTCCTTAGTCTTTACGTAAACATAGTAGAGCAGAATAAGAAATGAAAGTTTGAAAATAAAATATATTGTGTTTCTGCAAGGTAACATAAAATCCATATGGTATATAAAATTTTAAGAAATTTATTTCTTTGCTATTTTATGCAAGCGAAAATTAATCTGGTAAGTATTTGATATAGTTTCTTTATTATTTCGTTCACAATATGAACTTTGAACTAAAATCTCTTGTAAGCATTGCAAATTTACGTTAATTGTAACTGCTATTATATTTAAGTCACATTTCGCATACTTTATTTTAACTCATTACTCACAGGAATTTGACACCTAAAATGTAAAATTTACTTTTTATTTGTATGTACTCACCATACCAGGTTTTAGCTTAATACTTTTATTGATGTGAAATGTTATGACTATTTATCTATCTATTAGACAGACATTATTCATTATTTTAAGATAATAAAATATTGCATTATAAGTAAGTTTTTATTTACTATAATAGAAGATACTCTTTTATAGTAAATAAAAACTACTTATAATGAATAAAAACTTACTTATAAAAACTTACTTATAATACTATAATAGAAGTAATAAATAATATATATAATAATATAATAGTATAATAATTCATATATATATAATAATAAAGTAATAATAATATAATATAATAGTAAATAAAAACTTACTTATAATACTATAATAGAAGGATACTCTTAAAATTTTCTGTTGTAAAATGATTAAGAGAAATATTTCATTGCTGTTAAGAACATAAGATTTCAAATAAACTTCCATTAATAAGAAATTTGAGAAATTTAATCCTTAATTCATGAGTTTTTGTATTAATTATTTTTAATATTTATTCTTTATTCTTCAAATAAAACTTTTTCGAACACTGGGAGTAATTAATCAAGCTACAGAAGAAAGCAGGGAGAATGAAGACTTTACATAATTTTATCTACATATATCTAACTATTCTTATTACATAAATAAATAAGTAACATATATATATATATATATGCACAAATATATGTACACATGCAGAGACGGAGAGAGAAAGAGATACACGTTCGCACATGTATCTCTTATATGCAAATTAACCTACTAAAATATGTAATGCAAAACTAATTGTTAAATTATTTATAATTGCAATAAAGTGTTGCACTTATTGCAATAAAATGTTACAAAAGAATATGTAAAAATACTCTGTATATGGGATTTTAATTTAGCTCCAATCTTCAAACTAAAATCACTGTTCGAAAAATGAGCTAGTGAGCAACTTGGGTTGATATCAGAAATAACTCTTCCCACCTAATCCCCTAGCACATATATAATTTTTAATATTCAAAAATTTAAATGCTCACGAAAGAAACTTGAATGATAGATTTTAGGAAGGAATTTCTACCCATTTAAATGTCCATAACTACAGCGAAAATTCTTTATAAAATATTTAAAATGCACCGCAGTTTACGTATATATCACATACATTATTCTTTAATTTAGGAATAAAAAATGAAATTTCGACTTCGTGAAGAAAACTTGAAAAATTTGAGCGTCCTTTGTCCCCTTAAACTCTAGACAAGTATACTTTAGAATTGCCCCGCTTAACAATCGATTTGGACCCTACGGGAAGTGGTCCCCACCTTCGGAAAGTTTTAGATAGTTTGCTAAATTTACTTGTCATAGTGTCATTATACAACCGAGCATTGCTTCAGTATGCTATTTTTTTTTTTACTTTTGAGGCAAATTGATACTTGGGCGAAAGGTTTTCTATAAGATGTTACTTGTACTAGGCACTTGATTTCTAAATACTTGTACTAGGCTACTAATACTTGTACTATTTGTACTAGGTATTTGCTACGCTTGAACTTGTATAACTGGCTAGGTATTGTGCCATTTTAACATTCCCCCAATAAAAATGCATCGATAGGATGGACTGCACAGTTGTCTAGAAAAAGAATACTTATCTGTTGTTCATTCAAATTTTTGCATCTAAAGAATGGAGAAAAGGAAAAACAAACTTACTTGCCGTCTATGCTTTACCGTTTACATAGTGTTTAAGTGAGAGTTTTTTTATGTTCGTGAAACAGTCTGGTTTATGGGATTTACTGTTTACATTCAACAGCTGTTTGTTACTTCCATCGCTATTCCGCCACAGCAGCACAATGAGTTTGTGCTTAGAATATTTTTTTTCCGCTTGAAAATTCTCCGTTATACTCCATAAACCATGCTAAAGAAAAGTCTAATCTTGTCTGCAATGTATATACACTGACTACCAATAAGTATTTGGACACCTGTGATAGAAAAGAAAATCTAAATAATTCAAATCAATAGTTGGTAGAGCCTCCACGAGAGGTAATTACAGCGTGGACCCTCCGGGGCATACTTTCCACAAGTCTTTGTATGACAGCTAGTGGTATTTTCTTCCACTCGGCTTGGAGAAGACATAGAAGTTCCTTCACCGATTTTGCACGGGTAGTGCACACCTGAATTCGGCGATGCAACTCGTCCCAGAGGTTCTCGATAGGGTTCAGGTCTGGACTCTGGGCAAGCCAGTCCATTCGATGAACTCCATTGGCACCATACCAAGCCTTGGTTAACGTCGAAACATGACAACTGGCATTGTCGTCCTGAAAGTAACAGGGGTCCAACCCGTAAAACTGCCACAACGTAGGAAGCACATTGTCATCCAAAATAGTGCAGTAGGCATCGGAGTTGAGCTTACCATCAATGGGGACAAAGGGTCCCAGCCCATACCAGGAGAAATACCCCCAGATCATAATTCCACCTCCGCCGAACTTGACTGTTGGCACAATGCATTCTGGCGAGAGACTCCAGGTAGACGCCAGACCCAGACCCTGCCATCCGAACGGTAAAGGGTGAACCTGGATTCGTCACTCCAAAGAACCCGTTTCCACTGATCTACGGTCCAATTTAGATGTGCTTTGCATCACATTAACCGAGCAGCGCTGTTGGACTTTGTGATCAAAGGCTTATGGGCAGCAGCACGACCATGAAAACCAAGCAGATGTGCTTCCTTACGGATGGTATTCATAGAAACAATTCTCCCGGATGCCTGTTAAAACTCCTCGCGGATGAGGGCCATCGGTTGGGTGCGGTTTTTCCGAATTTCTCTGGACCGCATTCGTCGGTCTCTATCTCCCAGTTTCGTTGGTCTGCCGACTCGGGGCACATTCCGACAATCACCGCTCACCTTCCATTTCTTAATCACATAGGCCACTGTCGATTTTCGGCAGTTCAGATCGCTAGATATGTCCGTTAAGGATCGGCCACATTTGTGATAACCGATAATTATACCTTTCTCGAAATCAGAGAGCTCCAAACTACGAGGCATCTTGCATGCGACTAAAGCCGATGCTGTTTCCTACACGATATATACCGGCGGAGTCCGTGACATACCTTAGGACCGCAGATATCGTCATTTGCATAGGTGTCCAAATACTTATTGGTAGTCAGTGTATTGTGTGGCTTACCACATAGAATAGAGATGTCACATTTTTCTGCCAATTTCTTAGCAATCAGAGCGTACCGATCTTTGAATTTACTTTCAAAGATAAACATTGTAATAAAACTATATGCGTTTATATTATATGCTAAGCACTTCATTTTTGCTTTTTGACCTGACGTGGTTTCATCGCTTGCAATATTTAATGGCTGTGCTTACTTGATATCAGAGGAAAAGAATTGTTTTCATTTCTGAAAATTTCGACTGTTTGCAATGTATGAATTGCCACATTAGTCGATTTCCTTGTAGATCTCGTTTATAAAGTTGTTTTGTATTATTCACACGTTTCTCCTCAATACTGCTTTCTACATCCTCTAATATTTTTAGTCGTCGAGGCAATGTTCTGATATGTTTCTTCAACTGAAGCAATAATCGTAAAAATTAAGTAAACTTAAAACTCATAAAAGTAAAAATTAATAAGGATAAGCTACAAAAACTAAGAACAGTAAATTAAAGGAAACTTACAGAAATAAATTTATGGAATTGAAGTGATATTCGTAAATGAATAAAGCGTACTCGGAGCTGCAAGTCATGTGCAAAGTTTTACTACATTACAGAGTTGCCGGATTTATATTCCGAACAGAAGGTAACGCAAAAAGCAAGTCTAATGTTTAACTCACAACCTCTTCCAATGATCCATGCAGGAAAGTCTGTACCAGAAAAGTTAATAAGAAACAATTAATTAAACACTTAATATTAATTAATTAATTAATTAGTTCGTAAGTTTTGGGGCGGAATAAATAATGTTATTTATACTTGTAGAATTTCATTTGGGTTTAAAGGTGAACGGTACACGTGGGGATATGATAATTTCAGTAAGCATAAATGGAAGTTCTGTTGTACTATTTTTCTTAAGGGCTTGGGTGATTTATTTTTCAGACGACTGATATTTCAGTTACAGATGTCACCAAATTATGAAATCTGAGATTTTATATATAACATATAAACACAAATATATGTAGAAGAGAGATAGGTAGTTATTTCGTAATTCGGTAATATTTATTCTATTGCACTTCAGCTTAAGATCTGGATTCCTTGATAAATTTCATCCAATTTAAATTCTTTACTATTTCAACAAGCTTCCTTGTATACGTTTTAAAAAATCATTAAAAAGTAGCATTCATATGTGTTAATTGTATGATAATATCTCTTCTAATGAGCATTCTTTTTTAAATAAAAGATAAATAAAAGAATCGCAATTTCATTTTATTCCCAGATATACCAGCTTACACTTCTCAGCCTTGTGCAGAAAACGTCAGAAGTATATTAAGAAATGCTGATTCTTCTCTATGCTTTGGTATTCTTCACTATTTTCTTCAGAACAGCAGCTGGAGATTCTCCATTATTAGAGTTTGGTTCATGTTCAACGAAGTGCCAAATTAGCTTGTCAGACACTTCTGCTTCTGGAATATTTCCACCACATCAATGTTCTTGTTCGCAGAGCTGCGCAATTTATGGAGATTGTTGTTACGATTCCCCGTATCGAACTGAAGGTAAGGAGTGATCAGTCTTTACAAATTACTATACTGCCCGCTATACTCAAAGACTAAAGTGATGTTGGTGTCTATAGAAATTAAAATATCATTATATGTCCGAAATACAAAAGAGAGCAAATTGCCGGTAGTATGATAATAAATAAATAATGTTTAGATAAATGTATAGTATTTTAAATTACAATTCACCATCGTTATCATTCTTTTATGATTATGACACTCGTGTTATCCAGCTTCAACTCCTATGCTCATCAGCTTGCGATATGACGGAGATCGGAATAACGGATCATACTAAATAGAACAAAGGTGCACAAGTGCAATAAATAGCATCTCGTTATTGCACAAAGGAACTTGGAACCAACAGATGAGTGACTTAAAAGTTGAAAGTTTACCCGAATGCATTCTTTGTGTTCACACTGGAGTGTAAGCATTGCATATGTCCTAAGCAGTTTCAAGAAGGCGACTACTATTACCAAGAATAAAGCATTATTATTAAAATTAATACATCTTAGCAATTCATAGTTTACAATTTTATGCCCCTTATGTTTACAGATTTGAGTTCAAAGCCTCTTATAAGGCTTAGAAATTTAAAGTTTTCAGTTCTATGCTTTTTATGCAAAAATGGGGGCAATTTGAAGCGAGTCGATAATTTACAGTCAAATGAAGTATTCAGGGAGCACTCACAATGAAGGATTCATATAGGTATCAGTTAAGACGTAGATGCTTACTGTATAGATGTTAGATACTGGAAATTTTGATGCTTTTACCACTTACATATAGGGTAGCCAAAATAAAAGAGGCTCGCGTGTTATTAACAACATACAGACAATTCACTCGTTTACTGTAAACTCAGAATACAAAATAGTAAATGAAGAACAACGTACTGAACATTGAATAAGTCAATAGTTCACAGGAAGTACTGAAACTGTTCATCATGAACTTCGATACATGATTCTGAACATGTTTCTGAAAACTTTTGCCAATTCATTTGGTGTGATTTCCGAAATCGCATTGCAAATGTTTGTTTTCAGTTTTTCAACAGCCTGTGGGTTGTTAGTGTAGACCTTAGCCTTTAAAGTACTCCACAAATAAAAATTGCAGGTAAACAGATCGGGAGATCTGGGAGGTCATAATCCTGCTGAAGCTGTACATTCTTTTCAGAAAGCTTCATAGACGTATCGCAATGAAAACAGCTAATTATGCATCGTAGCGCCATATGTTGCTGGAAAAACGTATACTCTCGTTCTCGCTCCGTTAGCTGCGTGTTGAACGGTTGCAACAATTCCCTTACATACACTTGAGAATTCACGGTATTACTCGTATTAAAGAAAGTGAGGCATACAATCCTTGGCCTGAACCAAACGTCTATTTTCAAATCCTGCAAAAACACTTCAAAGCGTTCCTTGGTACTGTCTGTTGATCAATAACGTGAGCTTTGAGAGTTCAAGTAACCGCTAAGGTGAAACCATACTTCGTCTGTGATGAAGTAAAGATTTGAATCCAGATAATAATCAGCGACATGCGTGAGTAACCATTCGCAATAGAGTTGTAGTTGTGCGTAATCAGTAGGTTTTGATGTTTGGATCACGGTTATTTTGTATGCTCGCATATGTAAGTGCTTCAACATGTTCTGGCATGACGTTCGTTTGATGTTTATGCGGGACGATGGACGTCTAGTTAATTTTCTTGGACTTATTACCATAGTCTCTTGAATATGTTCGATATTTTCCAGCGAACAAACTTTCTGTACGCGGTTAAGTTTGGCGTTAGCAACTGAACCTGTTTCTAGTAGTGTTCTCTAGTAGTAGCAATTTCTACACAATACATTTTGCAGGAGCAGCTGACTCTGGATATTTTTATCTTGAAATTCTCATTTAACTCATTAAACACTTTTTGATTGAAAAAGGCATTCTGCGGAACTGTATTCGCAACAAACTTTCAACTGACTGCTGACAACGCAATACTGATGACTAAATGGCCTTTCGACATCACGTCACCCCCGCCCGAGCTCCGGTCTAACGTCAAGAAGTAATAACATTCAGATAGCTTCAAATATCACATTAAGTATAACATGGAGCTTTTTTTTTGCCACGATGTATGTTTTTATCGCTTAAAGTATATAATTTTCAAATGTTTGTTGTATTAACATCGCATTTTGTTCTATGCAGATTATTACGCCCAGCATATTGGATTACTATTTTAATACATATGGGGTTAATATATCATAGCTGTCAATCTTAAAGTAGGAAAATCCGGGAGGTTCTCACGCCCCAAATCATATCATTTTGAAAGAACTCCAAATTGTCTTAAGCTCACTTTATAATGCATTTCGGTTATTCAACTATTAGTAACATGATTCTGATGTAAAATACATCATATATAATTAGATAATATCAAGTAGTAGTTGAGAAAATCCTAAGCAGAGAAGAAAATCCATTGATTACCAAAGCACTTTTAAACACGATGAAAATAAAATTAATAACTAATATAATGCATTGTGCGGATGTATCATATATTGATGTCGAAGAAAATTAAGTACAACTATTAATTAACTAAACATTGGCTGAATCTTTACATAAGGTTCTGGTTACACCCCTCTTTAGATATCAATGAAAATTTCTAATGAAGTTATGGAGTAAACCATAAATAATAAACGGTTACAGCCGAAAACATCGCGGCAAAAACACCGCGGACGAAAACGTCGGGGAGAAAACAAAGCAAGGCGAAAACGTCGTGGTACAAAATATCGGGAGAAAAGAAAGCAAAGAGAAAATATCGCAATTCTATAACATCGTGGTACAAAATATCCTGGTCAAAAATAAAGCGGTTCAAAAACTTCGAAGTTAAAAATTATCATCGTCGAAAATATCGCGATAAAAAATAAAGTACCTACAAATCATAGCATGGTGATAATATCGCACACATGCGTTTATAAAATCCCATTCTGACATATTATGCAATTGACATTCGTCATAACTAACAAATCGACATCCAAACAATTGATTACACGCTATACAAGAAAATGTTAGGGATACTTTAAGCAGAAACGGAAACAAAACAAAATATAATTTTCACTGAAACAATATCAGATTAATAAATGTGAAAGAAAATGATTTGATAATTAACTAAGAAATTTTTTAGAGGTAACCTCATGCAATTACTTATCTTTCTTTTTCTAAGAATTTTTAAACTGTATTTTTCATAAAGAATTATCAATAAAACTTTATAAAAAGGTTAATTTATTAATGACCTTTGTAATTATATACATTTAATTACTTATGTAAATTTAAAATTCTATTAAGTTCTATATGTTGCATTAGTTTTCTACTCATTTTCAATTTTTCAATGCTTATGTTTCCTTCTTATTTCTTCAGTAAAAATTTATTAATTCATTTAAAAATATGAAATAGAGAAGTAAACGAATCCCTCTTTCCTTCTTGCCCTCCTAAATCATTATGAGAAAATACATTTACAACTTTTAAAACCTGAAAACGCATGCGTGCGATGATTTGTAGGTACACTGCTTTAAAAAAAAAAAAAAAAAAAAAAAAAAAAAAAAAAAAAAGGGCCTTTTCTATATCTCCCGATCTACTGGGCCGATTGACAAAATTCAAACTGCGTTTTTCATGTCTCGAAAGCGTGACTTAGGATATATATTAGATTTATATATATCACTATTCTAACATAGGTATTTTGACACAAAATCGGACTTTTTCTGAAATAAAATACCAATTTTTTAACATATTTCGATTCTACGACTCAAATTACGCTTAAATATGAAATTTTGTAAAATTTGGAGCAAAATTTACAGAGAAATTCACAAATTTATGTTGGCACTATTTTGTTAGTTTGCGCCAAGAATAGTTCACTTGGCGAACTTCTTAATATATGGCAACCTAGTTTCCTTTCCCGTGAGAGGAAAAAAAGACACCATCGTTCCTTTTTTCCAAATAATATTCTTTATATTGTATTTTTAATTATAACTTATTATTTTAAGTAATTTTTTCTTTTTCGAATTTCATTTTAATTGTTTAAGTTGCATGGTTTTTTTTCGAATAACTGTTTTAAAAATTTCTATTTACCTATTCGAACTGCGTAAATAAAGGTGCAGCGTTTATTTATTTTTTTTTTTCAAATAGTTTTCTTTATATATATTTTTTGTCATAGTTATTATTTTAAGTAATTCTTATACTTTTATTTTAATTGTTTGTGTTGCATTGTCTCTTCAGATAATTGTTTTAAAATTTTCTATTTATTCCTTCGAACTTAAATATATTTATTAATATCAATTTTCCAGAATTTGATTTTATTTATTTGAACTGCGTTTCTTTCGGAAGAATACTTTGTAACCCAGACTACGATGAGTTTGAAAACTGCATACTATATTAAAAGAGAAAATACAGTAAAGCACAGTTTTACACGCTTTTCAATGTTCCGTTCAAAAAAGATATATATAAATAAGAGAGATGTATAACCGACATTTTAACTTAGGATGACTTGCATAAACTGCTTTAAACAGTTTTATTATTGTGCCCATTGCTTTACACAATTTTATCCTACATTTGGTTTCTTAAATGTTATTCATATTTTAGTCAAACATTTTATTTTTGAAATCGTAAGAATCAAATATCATAAGATTAAAAAGTTTTAAATTTAAAAAAAATACAAATACTAAATTTTACCCAAAAATTTATTTTTTCTCTCTTTTTCTTCAGGCATTCTACTTTATTCTTGCTCTTTTTCTTTAGGCATTCCGCAAGTATATTAAAAAGTATCCAACTTTTCGAAATATCTTGATATTTCTGACAATCATTTTAAATAAAGTTATCGCCTTCCATTTCATAAAGGCCCACAAACGGCCGAGCGGGAAAGTCGCTGCACACTGGTAGTTCACTCCGGGGTTCGAATCCCGGTAAACGGGCTGGTTGCATGGGTGTTTTCGTGGATTTTCTCATGTGTACCGTGTATGCCAGCTGGTTTTCCTTTGAAAGTTCTTCACA